GGAGCAGTTCTCCCATAGGCCTTACCACTCTGTGTACCTAGTTTCTGGGTTTGTCACTGTACATGGCGTGTGTGTGTGTGTGTCCCCGCACCACTCAACTGCATCTGTCTCTGGGACGGGCCCCTTGACTTTCTCATGGCTAGAAGCCAGGGCAGGAAGGAGCACCTGGGGTAAGTGAACAAATGGGTGTACATCTTGGGGTTCCCACATTCCCCAGCTTGCAGCTCTCAAAGGGTCTCCAGAGCTGACCAGAGCTGCCTCTCTGGGAACAGCCAGAGGGTTGAGGGTGAGTACGGGGCTGGGCCTAGAGGCAGAGGGCTTAGTAGAGCCCCACTCCTTCACTGAACCCGGGGGGCTCTTTCTGCCCTTGTAGGAGGTGTTCCGGCAGCACCGGGGGCCGCAGCTCCTGGCCCTGGTGGAAGAGGTGCTGCCCCGCCATGGCAGCGGCCACCATGGGGCCTGGCACATTTCTCTGAGCAAGCCCAGCGAGAAGGAGCAGCACCTTCTCATGACACTGGTGGGCGAGCAGGGTGAGTGAGGGCAGGTGACGGGAGGGCCCAGGAGGGCAGTGGGAGGTAGGCGGCCCCTGAGGGCCATGGGAAAAAAGCACACGCATAAGGGCTTTGAAACTTGGAACTCCAGGACAGTAGTTTGAGCTACTTAGTTTAGGGGTCAAGGTGTACCCACCAGCTTGGGTTCTGGGGACAAGGAGGGGGGTGTGAGAATGAAGGATGGGAACAGGAGGCAGGGGAAGAGGTGTGGTCCAGCACAGGTGGGAGATGAATGGACACTGTACCTGGTGTGGCAGGGGAGAAGGGGTGTGTTCAGAAGGCAGTGTGTGGGCTTCGCAAGTGGCTGTCTGGTATTATACAAATCGATGTTCTAACAAATCGATGCAGTGAAAAGCATGTCTAGGAGCCCTCTCCTAGGGGGAGGCGTGTGCCTTGAGGATCTGTGTGCAATTTGAGCCAGGAAGGGAGGCAGAGGCTCAGGCCAGCCATTGGAGTGCGGGGCCAGAGCCCTTGGAGGGGCACCTCAGCCATGGCTGCACTGATAGTGGTGTTTCTTACCCCCCAGGGGTGGTGCCCACTCAAGATGTCCTTTCCATGCTGGGTGACATCCGCAGGAGCCTGGAGGAGGTAAGAGTGCAGGGACCTGGACCTGTTAGCTTCTAATATGCTCCCTCCTGTCTCTGTTCCTCAAAGTCCCAGGAGGCTGCCCACATCGTGAGGTTCAAAGGAGCATAAGACAGAGCGTGCTCTGGGCGGGTCCCTTGCTTCAGGCCTTCCTTAGACATGGTTTTGTGGGAAAGACGGTGCACGTGCATGCTGCCAACCAATGGTGCAATGCAGGCAATGGCCAGGGGCAGAAAGGGGCCATGGGGGTGCGGGGGGCTGTGCTAAGAGGCTGACAGGAGAGGGCCCAGAGAGGAAGGGTCTGGGGGGCAATGAGGGTTAACTGGGACAGTTAACCGGGTGGACAGTGGCAGAGACGCCATGCAGCCTGGTGGAAGGGGACAGTGTTATGGGTTCCAGAAACCAAAAGAGCAAGCCTGGGAGACCTGGACATGTGACTTGGCGTGGATGTGTGAGTCTGCTGGTGCTTGCACAGCCAGGCTCTGCGCTCCTGCTGCGGTGAGATGCTGCACCTGGGGGCCAGGAGGCAGCCCTGCCATCTTGGGAGGTGCCCCCATCCAATGCAGTCTGCTGGCTGCCTGGCCCAGCCCGGCCAACCTCTCCTACCCAGCTGCCACACAAGCTTGGATGGGATGGCAGGGTCCCCAGTCCTCCTGCTCCTCACACCACCTTGCCTGTGGGGTCCTTCCGTTCCTCATCTCGCTTCTTCAGGACAGCCACCATCTCCAGCAAAACTGCCATTGCTCACTGTAGAGTCCAGTGCCCTGTCATCAGCCCTCTCCACTCCCGAAGGTGCTGCCACTTTTGGCAGGAGAGATGAGTGGCATAATCCTGGCCACCTCCTCATCCTTGCGCGCCAGGGGAGCGGAGGCCCTGGTGGTGGTGCTTTTCTGGTGAGCATGTCGAATGCCCACTGAGCACCACACCGTGCAAGGCTCTCTCCCTCAGTCCTCGCCACCACCCCTTGGGGTTGTGAGAGTTAAGTGGGGCACCTGTTGAGTACCAATGGCGTCCCCATGGAAGATGAGAGCCGAAGTGGGAGAGGTTAGGTGACCTGCCTGAGATGGCACCTCCGGTAAGCAGTAGAGCCAGGCTTTGCAGGAAGCCTGATTCCGGAGCCTAGGCCTTTCACCACACTGCTCTACTGCCTGGAGGGCCACTGAGGCCCTTCCCAGTTCTGGAATCGTGGGTCCATGAACAGTGGGGCTGCTGGTGGAAGTGTGAGCTAACCTTGACCTTTTATACAGTCCTCACCCTGCTTTTCGCTGCCCCTGAGTATTCTGGCCTTACTGGTCACTTAATTCAGACTGACTTAGCCAAAAGTCATGCTGGGTCTTTGGAAATATACTCAGGTGAATCTAGCAAGAAAAACTGACCCTTGATAACAAAAAATTGAGAAAAGTACTGGAGATACAGATGGTTCACAGAAACTAGGGAAGAGCTGCAACGTGGCCTCAGAAAGGGGGGCCTGGTGCAATCTAGGCCTCAGCACTGGGAAATGCCCTGACCCCTCACCTGAGGAGTCCCTGGTGGTACTCACCTTCCTGCTTCTCTCTGCTGAGATGCTGATCTGTGGAGACAGCACCTGCCTGGCCCCTGGCACCGATCTCCTTGGCCAGAGAAGGCAGGACTGACCATGACAACCTGCAGCGTGGAGGGGTGCAGGCAGCTACATGCCAGCAGTGAACACACCGTGGGAAGGGAGGAAGCTGGGTAGCTAGGGTGGCCACGCATGTGGCCTGCATGCCCTCGGTATCCCTCCCTGCACTGGCCCTGGCATCGGGAAGGTGACTATCCCACCCCTCCCCACCGAGGTGGAGGCGGTTGTATGGTGGAAGATGTGTGGGGGGCTCACATCTTCTTGTCTCTCTAACTGGTTAGGGATAGGTGTGGGGGATCTCTCTAGTTGGATGGTGTCCAGCAGCATGGGTCCACTCTCACTGGGGGGCTACGGCCACAGTGAGGTCACACTCAGCAGTTGGGGCAGAAGCTGTGGTGGGATGTGAAGGAGGCTGGGAACATGGGCATGGGGTGGAGAGGCCTATAGCTGTGCTGAGACGAACAGGATGAGCATGGGGTAAAGGCAAGCCCAGGCCCCAGGGAACTTCAGGAATCGGGAGTGCCAGCACCTTCTAAGCCTGCTCCCCCATCCCCACCCCTGAGCCCAATGCAACCACCCCAGAGAAGCCATGGCACCCCAGGACCTCAGCTGAAGAACCTGGCCCCTCCTACCCCCAGATTGGCATCCAGAACTATTCCACAACCAGCAGCTGCCAGGCACGGGCCAGCCAAGTGCGCAGCGACTACGGCACGCTCTTCGTGGTGCTGGTGGTCATTGGGGCCATCTGCATCATCATCATTGCGCTTGGCCTGCTCTACAACTGCTGGCAGCGCCGTCTGCCCAAGCTCAAGCACGTGGTGAGTGTGGGGACAGGTGGGGCTTGGGGCCAGTGGAGAGTGCCCATCGATAGGTGTCCTCATCTGCAAGGGGAGGCAGTGACTCTCCTGGGAGCACAGGGTCCCTTGGGTGAAGCAGCTGGTCAGCCTAGCACTGCTGCCTGCTCTGCAGGGCACTAGCCACAGGACAGGTGCTGGAGGTGCAGGGAGTGAGGGGGCTGCTAGCCCCACCAGGGGGCCCTTCCCTGGCACCACCAGCCCCTTTCCAGGGCAGGCACTGCAGGGCCTGAGCACCTGGATACCTCACCAGAGACAGGCCCTGCATTGGTGATGCCCAAGGGTCAAGGAGAGGCTCCAGCAGCCTGGAGGCCTCCCCAGGAGGAAGAGAGCAGTGCCCTAGTGATGCCGCCTGCCCACCTCGCAAGTAGAGTCTTCTTAGGGGGCTGTTGGGATATCGATGACGTCAGGGAGACCACGGGGCTCTGTAGTGCCAACTATTAGTAGATTTATTTTGAGAAAGAAGTTGAGCTGCAGCAACAGAAAAGAAGGATCTGGCACCTGTGGAGGCTGCCGCGGGGACCCTCTGGGTGGGGTTGCACAGACGGCCGCAGGCCTGGAGCCGTCTGGGGGCCGGCTCGCTCGCCCACGGCCTCTCCCCACCCCACCGCAGTCGCACGGCGAGGAGCTGCGCTTCGTGGAGAACGGCTGCCACGACAACCCCACGCTGGACGTGGCCAGCGACAGCCAGTCGGAGATGCAGGAGAAGCACCCCAGCCTGAACGGCGGCGGGGCCCTCAACGGCCCGGGAAGCTGGGGGGCGCTCATGGGGGGCAAGCGGGACCCCGAGGACTCGGACGTGTTCGAGGAGGACACGCACCTGTGAGCGCAGCCGAGGCGCAGGCCGAGTGGGCCGCCAGGACGAAGCGAGGTGGACCCCGAAACGGACGGCCCGGAGCCCGCACCAGCCCCGCGCCTACCCGGGCCGCTCCCGCAGCCTGGCCCTCGGCGCGGGCTCCTCCCCGCTTCCCCCGACTTCACACGGTGGCCTCGGACCAACTCCCTCACTCCTGCCCGAAGGGCGGGCCTCAGAGCCCGCCTTGGCCCCGCTTTCCTGTCCCTGAACCCCGGCCCCGCGGGCGGCGGGCGACGGGCGGCGCTCCCTGCGCCCCAGGACTCCATTAAACCTGCCCGGAGACCACGCCGGGCCCAGCACGTCTGCCTGCCCGACTCTTTCTTATTTCCGGGGTTGGGGCGGGGCCGCGGGGCGGGGCTGGGAGGCCCGGGCGGGCGGGTCCTCCGGACGCCGCTGCGGAGCGGGGCGGGGCTGAGCTGAGCGTGTTTACATCCGCCGGGTGCGCAGAGTCGCCGCCCGAGGTCGTTCGGCTTGGGTACGAGCTTCAGCGCCATGGACACCAGCGACCTGTTCGCCAGCTGCAGGAAGGGGGATGTGGGCCGAGTGCGGTGAGGACCCCGCAGTCCCGGGGAGGGTGCGGGAGGTGGGGCGCCCTCGGAACGCCTCGGGACCTGGGACGTGCGGCTGGACGGCCGCGGAGAGAGGCGGGCGCCTCGGTCGGGTCACGAGCCTTCGGAGCGCCCCCGCGGGGCTGACCACCTAGACCCCGCCGCAGCCCCCCAGCGGAAGCGCGCTGGGGCAGGGACACTGATGGCCATTGACCCCCGGAGGGCTTCCTGGAAGAAGGGACTGCTCCACGGAGGCCCGAAGGCGCAGAAGTGGGCGGAGAGAAAGGCGGGCCACTGTTAGCCCTGGTAGGGCCCGGACGTCAGACCCCCGGGCGCGGGCCGCGGGTATAGGTCTGGGACTCCAGACGTGGCCCCTTACTCTCATGCTCTCTGGACCGGCGCGGGGAACACCTAGAGCCCATAATCGGCCTCCGGTCCTTGATGATTCGGAAACTCCTGACGCAGCTAAAGTGAATCTGGCGCTGAGATGGCACCTCCATGGGCTGGACGCGGAGGGAAGGGGTGCCCAGTTGGGTTCTGGGGCCCTTCCCCTCCTTGGCCTTCCACTATTCCGTTTGACCTCCTTTTTCCTTGGCCCCTCCTCCCCCTTGACCTGGTGCTGATTGACTACTTCCACCTCCCCTGGGCTGGCCCCAGGCTGCTGTACTCCCGTAGGATCCCTGGGCCCCTCCCCAACATCCCGTGCCACTCAAGAGTTAGTGCATAGTGTCAACGGTGCTTCCACGTGCAGCCTGGAGGCCTCCCTCGGGCTGCCCCCACCTTGGTGGGGCTACACTAGCGTTGGCGACTCCCCTTGCTCACCTTCCGCATCCCATCAGTTGCTGTATCCCGCTACTCCTGCCTTCTAGAATTATGTGCCCTCCACACCACCAGGAGGCCTGCAGCAGCTTTTCCCCAGGCTCCCTGCTTCTAGCAGGGCCAGCTTCCTGCAGTAGAGAGCTCTGGTGGGAGCGAAGGCTCCATCACCTCCTCTCTCTCCCAAACGCTGCAAGGTCAAAGGTCCAGCCCCAGCACTGGCGCTGGCCTCTGCCCCTGTAGCCCATCGTCCCCCAGCACTGATGGCACACACTGTCTGCCTGTCCGACCCCACCTCCACACCCTTGCCTGCACTTTGCCTCAATGCCTCTCCTGCTGTGATCTGCCTGTCACCTGCCCTTACCTGGGGGTGGCTTCCCCAGACCAAAAGGGATGTTTTCCCTCCGCTCCCTTCCATGGGCCTTCTTTCTCAGACCATGAACCCGTCCTGACCCAGGCTCTGACCTCCTTCCTGCCCAGGTACCTGCTGGAGCAGCGAGACGTGGAGGTGAATGTGCGGGACAAGTGGGACAGCACCCCCTTGTGAGTGCTGGGGAGAGGGGTGCAGAGGGTGGGGGTTGGTGTACCCCTTCAGCGCTGAGGACTTCCTCCCTCCCTTCAGGTACTATGCCTGCTTGTGTGGGCACGAGGAGCTGGTACTCTACCTTCTGGCCAATGGTGAGAGCAGGGAGCCGGGCTCAGGGGTGTGCGTGGGTGCATGCATGCATGTGTGCAGCTTTTCCCCGGGCTCCCTGCTTCTAGCAGGGCCAGCTTCTTCCTGCAGTAGAGAGCTCTGGTGAGAGTGAAGGCTCCATCACCTCCTCTCCCAAACGCTGAAAGGCCAAAGGTCCAGCCCCAGCACTGGGCCTTCATACACATTTGCAAAGCACCACGATTCCTCTCTTACCACTCAGTAGAATCAGCAAGTACTGTTAGCGCTACTTTAAAACCTTTTCTCTGTCCACCCTCCCCATCTCTACTTCTATGACCTGGGCCCAGTCATCAGCATTTCTCCCCGGGCACAGTGCCTGCCTCCTCTCTTGCCATTGCAGCCAAGTTCTAATTCTAATCTCCCTCTTTTCACAATGAATCTGAGTGGCTAAAAATCCTCTAGCGAGTTCCCACTGCCTCTAGGACACAGTGAGCCTGCCTGGCCATGCCCAAGGCTCCACAGGGTCTGCCCTCCTGCTGGCCTCACTCCCTCAGCTCTCTCTGCTTGCTTGCTGCTGTACTGGCCTCACTGGGGCTTCACTGTGCTACGCATGTGCCTGTTCCTGCCCCAGGGCCTTTGCACCTGCGGTTCCTCCTGCATGGACTGCCCTTCTGCAGACATTCACATGGCCCACTCCCCCACTTCATTCAGGTCTCTGCATGCTGCCACCATCACAAAGTGACCTTTCATGACTTTCCTTCATCCAGTGCCGTTCTTCATCCTATTTTGATTTTCTTTTTCTTTTTTTTGGAGACAGAGACTTGCTCTGTCACCCAGGCTGGAATGTAGTGGTGTGATCTCGGCTCCCTGCAACCTTAACCTCCCAGGCTCAAGTGATCCTCCTGCCTCAGCCCCTTCAAATCTTCCAATAGCTGAGACTACAGGCGTGTGCCACCGCGCCTGGCAAGTTTTTGTATTTTTTTTTTTTTTTTTTGCAGTGACGGAGTCTCACTATGTTGCTCAGGTTGGTCTCAAACTCCTGAGCTCAAGCGATCCACCTACCTTGGCCTCGAAAAGTGCCTGGATTATAGGTGTGAGTCGCCATGCCCAGCCTTGTTTTTCTTAATTAGTCCCTGCCATCATTAGGTAGTGCGTTCATTGTCCTGCCTCACTAGAGTATAAGTTCAGCAGGACAGGGACCTGTGTCTCGTTCACTGCTGTGCTCCAGTGTGTGGGACAAGCCCAGCCACCGAGTCTACTCTCTGTTCTGTGTAGTCGTGTCTTCCGTGTGAGCGAGTATGTGCCTGTGTGAGTGCGCACAGACGTGCCCATTCGTCTAGCCCTTGACTGGGAGGATGTTGAGTCAGAGTGGGCCCAGGGTAATTTGGGAAGGCATTGCCAGAGATTCGGAGCACCATGTGTGGGAAGGTGGGGAGGAGGGAGAGGGAGATTAGAATTTCCCCAGGCCCCTTCCCTGCTAACTGGTGAGCGCTGCATCCCCCAGGAGCCCGCTGTGAGGCCAACACCTTCGATGGTGAGCGCTGCCTCTATGGGGCACTGAGTGACCCCATCCGCCGGGCTCTACGCGATTACAAGCAGGTCACAGCTTCCTGCAGGAGGCGGGATTACTATGATGACTTCTTGCAGCGGTGAGTCAGGGCACACAAGGGGTGCAGCATGGGGTGCGGTGGCCGTGGTGAGTGTGGAGGGGTCTGCTCTGTGGCCTGCCCTGGGCTCTGGGTGCTTCAAGGAATGGAGTGGGGGCTGTGCCAAGCATCCTCCCTCCTGGCTTGTCCCTCCCCAGGCTTCTAGAGCAGGGCATCCACAGTGACGTGGTCTTTGTAGTACACGGAAAGCCATTCCGGGTGCATCGCTGCGTCCTGGGTGCACGCAGTGCCTACTTTGCTAACATGCTGGACACCAAATGGAAGGGCAAGAGTGTCGTGGTTCTCAGGCACCCACTGGTATGTCCCTTCAGGGTGGCAGAGGGGCATGGACTGCCCAGGAACAGCAGGGGGTTGTGCTGGGTGGCTGCCTCTGACATTCCTTTCTGACTTTCTGCCCACAGATCAACCCTGTGGCCTTTGGGGCCTTGCTGCAGTACCTGTACACAGGTGACCCCCTGGGTCCAGGGTAGGAGGAGAGGGAGTGGGCTGTCCTTCTGGACAGCAGTACACCTAGGTGTCGCTGGGCTGACCTTTAACCTCTAGACACTTCATGGTCCCCCAGGGTGGTTCCAGCTGCCCCTCGCGTTGGGTTGCAAGAGAGGACTAGTGTGTCTGCTCAGGAAGAGCTTGTCCCACCCATATGCTGAGCCTTTCCCGTCTGTTCCCTGGGGCCTGTAGAACTCAGGCAGCAGCTCTTGATGGGGAAACCAAGGTGGCAAGTGGGTCCAGGAGTCCTAGCCCTGCGGCCAGGTGGCCAGGTGGGAGGGGATCACTGTTTTTCTGTGGGCCTGATGACAGCTCAGGTCCCGCAGGCCCTCATCCTCCCCACTGCCCCCAGGCCGCCTGGACATTGGTGTAGAGCATGTGAGTGACTGTGAACGCCTGGCCAAGCAGTGCCAGCTGTGGGACCTGCTCAGCGACCTGGAGGCCAAGTGCGAGAAGGTGTCTGAGTTTGGTGCGAGCAGGTTTTGGGGCCCGGGGCCATGGGTGCCGCCTGGTAGGGCTGGCCTGGCTCCCTGAAGTTGTTCTTCCCCTGTAGTGGTGTCTAAGCCAGGCACGTGTGTGAAGGTGCTGACCATCGAGCCCCCGCCTGCAGACCCCCGCCTCCGGGAGGACATGGCGCTGCTGGCTGACTGTGCCCTGCCCCCTGAGCTCCGAGTAGGTGCGGGGCTGGTGGGCAGGTGGGGCATTTTGGGATGGCAGGCTGTGACAGGCAGCCCAGATACTTGGGCTCAATTTCTTGTGTGGCCTTGGACCAGTTACTTCCCTTTTCTGAACCTAGTCATTCACTTCTGTGAACAACTGCTCTGATGGGGTCACACTCTTCTGTACCCCAGGGTGATCTTTGGGAGCTGCCCTTCCCTTGTCCTGATGGCTTCAACAGCTGCCCTGATGTCTGCTTCCGAGTGGCCGGCTGCAGCTTCCTCTGCCACAAGGTGCCTGCGCCCTCCTGTTGCCCCTGGCTCCAACCCGTTGCCCTGAGCCCCGGTCTAGCTCCTCAGGAGACAGACCCTGGCCCTCACACTTCCTGAGCCCGGCCTTCCCCAGGCCTTCTTCTGTGGCCGCAGTGACTACTTCCGGGCCCTGCTGGATGACCACTTCCGAGAGAGCGAGGAGCCGGAGACCTCAGGGGGCCCCCCAGCCGTCACCCTGCACGGCATCTCACCCGACATCTTCACCCACGTGCTCTACTATGTGTACAGCGACCACACTGAGGTGGGGGCTCAGGCAGAGCTGGGGACGGCACACAGCCTGTGCTGCCATGGGCTGAGAGGGAGCGCCAGGGCCTTGGGGGTCTTTGGGAGGGCCCAGTTGGCCCCATGATTGACGTTTTGAGAAGGCTGGAGGGGAAGGATGTGGGACTTTGGATTTTTCTTTCAGGCAGAGGGAAGCCTTGTTAGGCTCCAGAGAGAGGGTAAGTGACAAGGCCTATGTCACAGGCACTCCACACTTGTCAGCCACTTGGGGTCCTCAGCTTCTCCAGCAGGAGGGTGGAGGCTGGGTGGGGACAGCCTCCTCCCTCTGCGATGCTGCAGATCCCTGGAGTTCTGAATTCCTAGTCTCCTCTTCCCTTGCTGCCTCCCTCTGTCTCCAGCTGCCCCAGGGTCTCCGTAAGCCAAAGCTACAGGGCAGCAGCAGGGTGCTGAAGGTTTGATCTGCCAGGGTGTGTGTGTGTGTGTGTGTGTGCGCGTGCATGCACGCTATAGAGACCCCCATATCTGGTGGCTTGAAGAGGGGAGTTTGTTTCTCCTTCACATCTGACTGAGGTGGCTGCCCCAGGGCAGGTGACTTGCTGAAGACCAGGTCATCCCTCCATCTTGCCCCTGTATGCCTAAGGGTGAAGGTCAAAAACCCTTGTCTCTAAAGGTGAATGGTTCAGGTTCTGTGGGCCATATGGCCCTGTTGTAGCTACTCAACTCTGTAGTGCAAAGGCAGCCAGAGACAGTACGGAGATGAGTGGGTGAGGCTGCATTCCAATAAAACTTTATTTGCACAAACAGGCTGGATTTGGTCCGCAGGCTGTAGCTTACCCACCCTGCCCTGGGGCATTGCCTTTGGCCATGGAGATTGGGTCCTAGGCAAACTCATGCTCTAGGAGGAAGAGGAACACAGGGCAAACAATGTTGTTTTTGTAGAAGCTACAGGAAATTGCACACACCACTTCTTATGTTCCCCTGGAGAGAACTTCGTGCCTACCTGCCAACAAGGGAGGGTTGGAAAGTCATTCTGTGGCCAGGGCCCTGTTTTGTGGGGGAAGGGTTCGAGGAAGCATGCTGGGAGACAGAGGGCAGTCCCTACTGCTGCTCTACCTCCAGTGGCAGCTCCCTTGTCCATCCCTCCCTGCGACCTAACAGCCCCTCAGCCTCCGTCCTTCCCACCTCCTCTACTGGGCAACTCCTGCAGCTCAGCCCAGCTCTCTGGCCCCTTACCAGGGGTTACCTTTGCCCACCCTGGAGAAGCTCCCTCCTCAAGGAGCCTCGCCACCCCAAGGGCACCTTGTCTCAGAGTGTGGCTTGGGCTCCTAACCTGGGTTGACACTGGGTGAGCTGTGTGACACTGGGTGAGCTTTGTGATCGTGGGCAAGTTACTTAACTGCTCTGTGCCTCTAGAACATGGGGATAGCACTCATTGTCACTTCCTAAGGCCTTGTGCGGATGAATGGGTTACCCAGGTAGAGGAGGTGGCATGGCACATGGCACATGGCCTGTAATGTGGTCGCAGAGCTTCCCTCGTCTCTGTCTGCAGCTTGTTCCCTGTGCCACCCAGGCTCTGGCCCGAATCTGAAGGCTTCAGTCTTGCCCAGCACAGGATGTACCTGTAGGTGGGCTCTGTGTCCCCACAGCCTCTTGAGAGGGAGGGAGCGGGTAGACAGTCTCCCACCCCGGCAGGGTCCCTGCATGGGTCTTGACTAGCTGCCTCTGCCCCACCATTCTGACAGCCCCCCAAGGTAGGCATGGTTATCTGTACCTCATGAACGGGAGCTAGAGGCACAGGAGGTGCAGTGACTTGCCCAGGGCCCCACAGCTAGAAGCGACAGACCCAGGTCTATGTAACTCGGAGCTCAGACCCTGGCTCCTGCGAAGGCCCTGCCTCCCACCCAGCCTGCCAGTCTGCTCAAGGCTTGAGAGCACACCCACCCCACAGTCTTCTGCCCCCTGTGCGGTCCTGCAGTTCCCCTTACCCCCTGCCCACACATGCTCAGGGAACTCGTACTCCCACTGGAAGCCTTCCCACCACTGCCCCACAACCCCCACAGGCCCTGTCCTTGGCCATTGGGCCCTGGGAGCCCTTGGTGACCTCGGGGGGCACCTTCATCCCTGTCTCCACTGCAGCTGTCCCCTGAGGCGGCCTACGACGTGCTGAGCATCGCCGACATGTACCTACTGCCAGGCCTGAAGAGGCTGTGTGGCCGCAGCCTGGCCCAGGTGCTAGACGAGGACAGTGTGGTGGGTGTGTGGCGCGTGGCCAAGCTCTTCCGCCTGGCGCGGCTTGAGGACCAGTGCACTGAGTACATGGCCAAGGTCATTGAAAAGGTGGGCCAGTGGGCTGCAGCTGGCGGGAGGGAGTGGTGAGAGGGCGGGCACCCCTGCACTGAGCTGGCCCTTCCCGCTCATAGCTGGTGGAGCGGGAAGACTTCGTGGAGGCGGTGAAAGAGGAGGCAGCGGCTGTGGCGGCCCGGCAGGAGACGGACTCCATCCCGCTGGTGGACGACATCCGCTTCCACGTGGCCAGCACGGTGCAGACCTACAGCGCCATAGAGGAGGCGCAGCAGCGGCTGCGGGCACTCGAGGACCTGCTCGTGTCCATTGGCCTGGACTGTTGAGCCCCTGGCTGGGCAGCCCCAGGGGCCAGGAGCTCCCCTGGAGACAAGCATGTGTATGTGTTTGTGTGCAGCTCTTCTTCCTGCTCCCTGCACATTGAGGGCTTCATGGTGGGTGCAGGGGGCTCAGTGGGGCTTCTCTTCCCTCCATGAGCCTGGAGACCCCAGGGGAAGATGCATTTGGGATGAGCCCCCTCCCCCCAATGCACAAGCCAGCCCCCAAGATCCTGGGGGTGGGCACCACTCAGGGAAACCTGGGGTGGGGGTGGGCTTTGGTCTTAGCACTTTCCTTCCCCAGATCCCCCTCCCCACACCACCCCAGTCCCAAATCCAGTCTTGTAGCCCTCACCCAGCCCTGGATTGCTTCTCTAAGCCCGTGTTCCCATGCACAGGGCCATTCAGGAAGGGCTGGGGGAGTGTGTGTGGCAATAAAGCTTGAAGGCATTGTGGGAGCATGAGCCTGTGTCCTGGGGTACAGCTTGGGAAGACTGGGGACTTCTGGAACCAAAGGAGCTAGTGGGACCAAGGAAAGAAGCTCCAGAGTTGGGGGCTCCCAGCAGAGGCTGGCCCAGAGCCCAAGGGCCAGAATACCTGGCTGAGCAGACTTAGAGATCTGCCACTGACCCCAGCGTGGCCTGGGCCCAGCCTGGCTCCCTCCCTCCCTGTCTCCATGGAGGCTGGTTGTGGTGGGCCTCATTCCAGGAAAGGGCCAGGACCAAAATGACCATTTTCTCTCAGCCCAGTGCCAGTCTTTTCCCCAGGGAGGCCCTTGTGGCCCTTCCTGCAGGGGCTGCCACCTTATTACGGGAAGGTGAGCTGCAGGGGCCAAGGGAGACCTTTCTCCTTGGCCCTCTGAAGGTTCACTGAAAACTTGAGTAAGAGGAGAAAAGACATGCAAATTTATTTAGCATGTAGACATGGGCATCTTCAGAATGAAGACCCAAAGACGGGAAGCTGTCATTGTTAAGCTTAGGCTCAGCAAACTGTGGCCAGCTGAGTAGAAATGGGATTGGCAAAAAGTGCAGGATCCAATGCTGACAACAGGGAAACGCAGTCAGGCCTGTCTGGATTCTTCTTGGTCTCTCTGAGCAGCCTGCCTGCCTGTCTTCCGGGTGTGGGGCAGGACCCTCTGGAATGGGGGAGTCTTATGACCTATAGTCAAACAGGGTGGGACAGACGCTTATGGCTACTTTTTACACAGATAGGGCAGAGGGAAAGTGAGAGTCCTGTTTTTAGGTTTTGTGGCTGGCTCTGGGGAACAGGGGCTCTGGTTTCTAGGGCCCGCCCTAGGGGAAGAGGGATTCTAGTTTCTGTGGCTAGCCTCGGGATGATGAGACTGAGAGACAGGGGCAAAAGGTCAGAGAGAAGCTCCTGCTTCTGAGGTTGCTGCTTGGGCCTTCATTTTGGGGTATTTGAGCCCCAAGGGGGTTTCTCACGATGCGCTGCGCTGCAGGCCTGTGGATCCCCCAGGCCTCTCTATCTTCTAACCTGGTTAAACTCAGTCACGTCACGGCCCTGGGGGAGGAAAGGAAGGCTGGTTCTTTCACAGGGCTTCTAATATCAGGGGTCTCCACCCTTCCTGCAGTTATTTCACAGCTCTTCATGCCTTTTTTTCTTTTTTCTTGAGACGGATTCTCGCTCTATCGCCCAGGCTGGAGTGCAGTGATGCAATCTTGCTTGGCTCACTGCAACCTCCACCTCCCGAGTTCAAGCAGTTCTGCTGCTCAGCCTCCCAAGTAGCTAGGATTATAGGTGCACACCACCATGCCCGGCTAATTTTTGTATTTTTAGTGGACACAGTTTCACCATGTTGGCCAGGCTGAGCTTGAACTCCTAACCTCGGGTGATCCGCCCCACAAAGTGCTGGGATTACAGGTGTGAGTCACCACGCCCGGCCTCTTCATGCCTTTTTACTATGTTATTTTTAGATTTTTTCCTTTTTCCTCTCCAGCGCATTTTCAGCCGTGTTGCACTGGCATGTTGATCATCGCATGGGGGAGGTTGTAGGTCTGAAATGACCACTAGTGAAGGATGAGCTGGGACAAGTCATGGTGCAGCCTGCAGGAGGTGATGAGTGTGTTAGGGAGGTGAGGAGGGAAGGAGTCCCCGGGAGGGCCTGTGGGTGGAGGTTGTAGCTTGTGCAAGGGCCTGGGAGCCTGAAAACAGCCTGAGATGGGATGGACTGGGCGGGGTCTGCGCATTGCCAGAGCTGAGCTGCAGCCAGAGGCCCAATCCCCGCTGCTGCTCTGCCTTTCACTGCTGGCCACCGCTCTGCCTATTTGCCTGCCCACAAATTGGGGGTGATTATGGCAACTCCCTCTTAACTAGTGTTTGACCTATCCTGAGCCTGGTGTGTTTGTTAAACAAAAGCTGAATCCACCTGGTGGGTGGGAGGTGGGAGCAGGGGAGTGACAGGGGCTCACTCTGGTTGCCCTGGGGCATACAAGAAGGGAAGGGTGAGGCCAGGCTAGTGGCCTAACACCAGCGGGTCTCACCTCAGAGCACACACAAATCCTGGTGTGCCAAGAGATATTTAAATATTTAAAGAAAAAGTTTTATTTCCTATGCATTTCTTTTCATATGCGTTAGGGGAGAAAATGAGCTACTACATGAAACCTTTTTTTACAGATGTTATTATTTGAAATCATGAAAGTTTCCAATCTTGAACAAATTTTAAATAAAATCCCTAGTGAGAGGGCAGTTTAAGGAAAAATTATCTGGAGTTGGGGTATTTTAGTGGTTCACTGATACAGCGGATACAGCCAGGTGTACCAGCTATGGCATCTGTTCGGAGAGAGCTGCAATCTGAGAACTGCCACCCCTCAGGAGCTAGGCTGTGTGGTTGTGGGGGCAGCATTTCCCAGCCACACCACACCGTTCCTCACTTTATTTTATTTATTTTTTTGAAATGGAGTCTAGCTCTGTCACCTAGGCTGCAGTAGAGTGGTACGATCTCGGCTCACTGCAACCTTCACCTCCTGGGTTCAAATGATTCTCGTGCCTCAGCCTCCAGGGTAGCTGGGACAACAGGTGCCTGCCACCATGCCCAGCTGATTTTCATATTTTTAGTAGAGACGTTGTTTCACCATGCTGGCCAAGGTGGTCTGGAACTCCTGACCTCGAGTGATCCGTGCACCTCAGCCTCCCAAAATGCTGATATTACAGGCGTGAGCCACGGCGTCCCCATTCCTCACTTTAGCCTCAGGCAGAGAAGCCAGCGCGATGGGGAAACACTTGTGTAGGAAGGTGTCCAATGCGGTATTGCAAATCAACAGGAAACATTGCCAGCAGCTGCAGCGAGCAGCAAGTGGGGAAGGAAGTGAGAGCATGGACGCGCAGAGCTTCCTGTAGCCATGAGAGTGGTCAGTGCAGCCTCCGCATCCACAAGGAACAGGTGGAGGACATTCAGGCACTAAGGGGTGCTCCCCAGGCTTATATGAGAAACCTGTGGCACAGACAGCCACACAGGAGTAGTGAACTACAACCATGGAATTTGAAATTTAGTTTCTAATACTTGGTTCTAAAATTGGGTTGATTTAAATTCAGAAGTGTGCCCTACTCTGACAAATGTTAAAATAGACTAACAGAAGACACATTTTGACACAGAGGCCCTGGGTTTGAGACTCCTCCATTATCCCTAAACCAGAGGAAGAGTTACTGTGTGAGAGCTGGGGATATTTGATCTGATTTCTGTTTAGTTTCTGTAGTGTAGCTTGGCTACCTTTAAAATTAAAAAAATAAAAATAAAAACCATGTTTATGTCTTACTTTAATTCATTCCTACTCCCAGGTGAAAAAAAATTATTGTTGAATGAAAAATATTTCCATCATGTGTTATTGGAAAAATTATATGTGTGCTCTCTCAACTCAAGATACCCCCAAATTTTTAACAGAAAAATAGACTTGGTGTGGGGGTTCACACCTGTAATCCCAGCACTTTGGGAGGCTGAGGCAGGAGAATGGTCTGAGCCCAGGAGTTTGAGACCAGCCTGGGCAGCACAGTGAGACTCTGTCTTTCCAAAAAATAAAAAATTAGCTGGGCATGGTGGCACGAGCCTGTAGTCCCAGCTACTCTAGAGGCTCGAACCCAGGAGGTTGGGGCTGCGGTGAACTGTGATTGCACCACTGCACTCCAGCCTGGGCAACAGAGTGAGATGCTGTCTTAAAAAAAAAAAAAGAAAAAAATCAATTGAACAATGACAAAATGAGCAATGATGGAAAGGAAATAAACTCCATTTTGCACAGGAAAGGTAGTGTAGGGATGACTTATTGACCCACCAGAAGAGGAAGAGGAGTGAAGGTGGAGCTGGGCAGCCCTCTACCTAAAGCCCCAACCCTGACAGGCTGCCCTCTCCCACAGCAACTGCTGCTCTGGGGTTCCACTCCCTGCTGTGGCTGTTCGTGGACGCTGTGTCATCCCCTGCTGACCCCTTTAGTGACACCATCCTCGGTTAGGTGCAACCGTTTCCTGCAGGGCCCCAAATGAACATGCCCTTCACCCCTGTGCTCCAGCCATCCTGAGAGTCTCTCAGTTTCGGGGCCACCCTGAGCTCTCTGCACCTCGAAAACTACCCCCCCCAGACCCCTCTGCTGTGCCCCCAACCCTGGCCTGCTCCTGCTCACCTTTAGCTTCTGGAGGGCTGTGCTGGCAGCCACTGGGTGCCCATCACTGTTAGGCTCTGGGGTGAGAGTCTGTGTTGCCCGGGTCCTCGTTCTGTGAGGGCGGCCCACCTTGTTCTGCCCTGGTCACTGTTCCTCCCAGCACTGGACACCGTGCCTGGCGCATCACAGACGCCCAGTAAGGAGCTTGTGATGAGCCTGAGTGTTCATGGAGGAGGCTGGAAAAGCCAACAAATGCAAACATTGTTGACTCTAGGTTTGATACAGTGAAGTTCCGGGCAGAATTTGGTTGGCCATAAATAGAGCATGAGGGCCTGGAGAAAAGGGGCTGTCCTTCAGGTCTGTGCATCTTTGGGGGACCTTCTGCACAGAGGCCAGGTGCCACCCACCCAGGGCCTAAGTGGTTTGCAGGGCCCACTGCAAAACAGCACGTAGGGCCCTTGCTCAAAGAGCATTAAGAATTTCCAGACAGCAACAGTAGAGCATTCACCCAAACGCACGGACCTTCTAGTGTGGGGCCTGGGTCACTGCATGGGTGGCCAGGCTACAAGGCCAACTTGCATCCACACCCAGTTTCCAGCTCAGTGCCTGGCCCAGATAAAGCCTTCCTGCCTCCTTCCTCCCTCCTTCCATCCCTCTCTCCCTCCCTCGGCCGCTCATTCATTCCTTCATCACTCCATCACTCATCCATTCTCTCACTCACTCATTTCCTTGTTTATTCATCCCCCTCACTCATGGACTCATCCATTCTCTCATTCATTCAACCCCTCACTCATTTCATCATTCATTCTCTCTCACTCATTCTTTATCATTCTCTTACTCATTTCCTGTCATTCATTCCCTCATTACACATTCCCACGCTCACTCATTCCCTCATTCATTCATCCCCTCATTCCCTCATTCATTCATCTCCTCATTCCCTCATTCATCTCACTCATTCTTTCATTTATTCACCCCCTCACTCATTCACTCATTCATTATTCACTCACTCATTCATTCCCTCATTTATTCATCCCCTCGCTCACTCACCCATTCTCTCATTTCCTCACTCATCCATTCTCTCACTCATTCACCCATTCATTCACTAACTCATTTCCTCACCCATCCATTCCCTCATCACACATTCCCTCACTCACTCATTCCCTCATTTATTCATCCCTCACTCATTCACCCATTTATTCTCTCATTTCTTCACTTGCTTATTCATTCCCTCACTCATCCATTCTCTCATTCATCACTCATTTCCTCACCCATTCATTCCTCAATTCATCCCCCTCATTCACTTTCATTCACTCATTTCCTCACTCACTCATCCCTCATTCATTTACTCATCACTCATTCAATTTCTCACTCACTCATTCCCTCACTCTTGTTCCTTCATTCATTCATCCTATTCACTCATGCTCTCACTCACTCATTCATTCCCTCACTCATCCATTCTCACTCATTCCTTCATCACTCATTCCTTCATTCATTAATTCCTTCCATCCCTCATTCATTCATTTTCTCACTCCATTCCTCATTCATTCCCTCACTCATCCATTCTCATTCCCTCACCACTCATTCCTTCATTCATTCATCCCCTCACTCATTCACTTACTCATTCTTCTCTCACTCGCTCATTTCTTCAATCACTCATTCAATCCCTCACTCATTCATTCACTCACTTCCTCATTCATTCCCTTGCTCATTCACTCCTTCACTCATTCCCTCATTCGTTCACTTATCACTCACTCATTCCCTCATTCATTCATTCACTCATTCTGTCATTTCCTCATCCCCTCACTCATTCGCTCATCCATTCATTCACTCACTCATTCCTTTATTCATCCCCTCATTCATTCATTCATTATCTCATTTCCTCACTCATCCATTCTCACGCATTCACTCATTCTTGCATTCTCTCACTCATTTCCTCACCCATCCATTTCCTCATCACACATTCCCTCGCTCACTCATTCCTTCATTTATTCATCCACTCACTCATTCACTCATTTATTCTCTCATTTCTTCACTTGGTCATTCATTCCCTCACTCATTCATTCTCTCACTCAGTCATCACTCATTTCCTCACCCACTCATTCCCTCAATTCATCCCCTCATTCGCTTTCATTCATTCACTCATTTCCTCACTCACTCATCCCTCATTCATTCACTCATTACTCATTCCCTTACTCATCCATTCTCTCATTCCCTCACTCACTTATTCATTTTCTCACTCACTCATTCCCTCACTCTTGTTCATTCATTCATCCCCTCATTCACTCATGATCTCACTCACTCATTCATGCCCTCACTCATTCATTCTCACTCACTCTGTCATCACTCATTCCTTCATTCATCCCCACCCATTCACTCATTCTCACTCATTCTTTCATTAATTCCTTCCTTCATTTATTCATTTTCTCTCACTCCTTTCCTCATTCATTCATTCCCTCAGTCATCCATTCTCTCATCCCCTCACCACTCATTCCTTCATTCATTCATCCCTTCATTCACTTACTCATTCTTCTCTCACTCACTCATTTCCTCATTCATTCCCTCATTTCCTCATTCATTCCCTTGCTCATTCATTCACTGTCTCACTCATTCACTCACTCATTCATTCCCTTGCTCATTCATTCACTCACTCATTTCCTCACTCATTCAATCCCTCATGCATTCATTTTCTCATTCATTCACTCACTTGCACAGTCCCTCACTCACTCATGTCAGTGCAGTTTTTACATTTTTCTCCCTCAAAGAGAAACCAGAGAGATAATATGGGGCTATGGTAGGTGCTCTCTGCTGCCCTGCATGGGATGGGGGCTTGGCTCCTCCTGAGGGAGATGACAAAGAGAACACATCATTCTGTCACTCACTCATTTATTCACTTACTCACCCACTCCTTCCCTCCCTACCCTATCAGGCAGGTCTTTCCAGGGACCCTCTGGGAAGCAGGCAGAGGTGTAGTGCAGGGATATGCCCTTTTGCAGTTCACATGGGAGGGGACAGAGTGCTACCAAGCAGACAAGCAGAAGATCCGTCATGTCAGATGTCAACAAATGTGCTGGAGGAGGAGAAGGTAGGGCAGTGCCTGGGGGAGGGTCTCACTGAGAAGATGGCCTGCGAGGAGGCTGGCATGATGAGGACCGAGTGGACGTGGAGGATTGGGAGAGGGGAGGCAAGGAAGCCAAAGGCCCAGCGCCCGTAGGCTTCAGCAAGAACCATGGCCTTTATTTAGATGAGATGGTGGCCACCGGAGGATGCTGAGCAGAGAAGGGCCACAGTCTGACTCATAATTTAACAGCCCTCTCGCCTCCATGTGGAAACAGACTGGGTGCAGGCGAGAAAGCGGGGCCTGCCAATGAGGCCGCTGCTGCCGTCCCTCAGACGCTGGTGACAGCTGTGCAGCTGGAAGGAAGCTACAAGATCTTGGTCACACTTAGGGAGAGTGGCTGGGCCAGGTGTGGGTGTGGAACGGAGAGGGGTGTGGAGGATGCCCAGCAGCAGGAGGCCGGGTTCCCTATGCTGAGGAGGGAGGGCTGAGTTCGGACAGAGCCCAGCTTGTGTGGGGATAGGTTTGGCATCTACATGGGGCCCTGGAGAAAGCACAATCCACCTGAAGCTGGCGCGGGGAGGGTGGCCTGGGCTCTGTCCACCCCAGCGGTGGGGCAGGGTCTGCAAGTGGATGTGTGTGTTTAGAAACCCGCTTCAAGCGTGGATGGGAGAAGATAAATTCCACACGCGCTGACCCAGGCTGGGAAGCACTGCTGGAGTTGGTATCAGGTGACAGGAGTGGCTCGGGCAGGGATCAGCCTGTCTGAAAAAGGGCCTGCTGTGCTCTCGGCAAGGAAGATTGCCATCCAGGGTCAGAGGCTGCTGTGACGGACAGACAGACGCCATTCCGAAAACATCGGATTTATTAGGATTAGCTGTAGTGTACACTGATTCCTTTAGCTCTAAACGGATACATATGTGCCCCGCAGACAGTATACACACAGGGATGTGACTGAGCCACAGTGACATAGCAAACCCAACAGCTGGCTTGTGAAGCTGTCGTGATCCCAACAAGGTCTATGTTAGCAATTGGTGAGAGAAGAGCGTGAGATAGGACCCAGGTGGGCCTGGGGGTGGAGTCCGAGCAGAGCCTGTGGGTTTTCAGAGTACCCACCAGTGCTCCCTCGGTGAGCCCAGCACCACCTGGAAGCGGGGGAAGCTGGGTCGCTGCTGGAAGGGAGGGAGGCTGACTCTCTACTCCTCGCCTCTGCAAGGAACTGAGGCCTGTAGGGTTGCGGCTGTCACCGGCTACAGGTGGCATCTTTCTGTAAAATATTTTTCAGGCATGAAACCCATTTCTGTATGGACTGGGCCGTGTTGACGGTGGTGCTTGGGCCTTGTGTGCCAGACCTCTCTGGGTCCTCTCCCTGACCTTGGCCTTCCTCTCACCTTCTCGAGGCCAAGCTATGTGAGACCTGGCATCCCTTCCAAACCTCAGTTCCTCCACGGCCCTGCGTCAGTGCGACTCCAGAGCTCAGAATGTCAGCACAGAGCCGTCAATATCGAGAAGGAACTCAACGCAAGACTTCACAGCTTTCCAAGGACGGGGACCAGCTCTGGAGTGGCCACGCGTGAGATGTCAGGCTCGCTCACGCACAGGGTCCTGTGCTGGCTCCTGACCCAGCAGGGGGACACGGTGGGCGGATGTACCAGCCCTTCCGGATAACATGAAACAGTCCCAATTTCAGGAAAGTTTTTCTTTTAAATATTGGTGATTCTTTAACCAGGAATGCAAATGCTACTGAAGTGCTGTGTGTGTCTCTGTGAGAGCCTTCATATAAATAAATTCATGCATCTAAAGAGTCCCTGGTCAGGCCGCATGCCGATACTTAATTTGGGGAATGGCGATGCCATCACATGCGTCTGGGGGAGGTGGCAGGGAGGCGTAGGGACTTTGTGTGACCTGCTTTGTCACAGCTCCTGGGAGAATTACAGATCTGAGCCCAGGGCGTCTCTTTGCTTTTGGAAAGGGTTCCTGCTTTTCCCGAGCTCCCATGGCTGTCCTGCTGCCGGTGCTGACCGAGCAGGCGGGGCTGGCTTTCTCTCTCAGTGCATATTTTACATTTTTCTCCTTCAAAGAGAAGCCAGGGAGACAAGCTGGAGCTACAGAAGGCGCTCTGTGGGGACGTGGGCCGGGTCACCACCAGAGCCCCCACCTGCCCCTTGTGGGGTGAGGGCTTGGCTCCTCCCCCAGGGCACAGAGTGAGCTTCAGCAGGGTGACCCATTCCCGGCTCTGTCACGGTGTGATCAGGGCTGCTGCAGGGAGGGTGGAGGGGCACACGTTCCAGGAACCAAGGTTAGCCTCCAGAACAGGGCCTAGGAGAGCAGTGGCAGTTCCCGCTGCTGGAGGAAGAAGGGCGGGAGCCCCCACTGCCTAGACTTCATGTTGGGGTCCTGGTGGGAAGTGGCCCCCTCCTCTGTGGCCCCAGAACCCCTAGATTGCACCTTCTGCAGGGCTTCAACGGTGGCAACGCCCTGAGCAGGGTCACGTTTGCACTAAGGAGCCTCCTGAGGTAACAGCAAGTCCCATTTAGAAGGTGAAAGTATTCCCCAGGCGGGTGGTGACCCCCACTTATTGCTGGGACCAAGTGAGGCCAAGGGCAGGGCTGGGGTGGTGTTGGCACCTGAGATGGGCAGGCTAGGGCCAGGGCCTCAACTCCGAAAGATTGGCTGATGCCAGCCTTGGCCTTGGGTGAGGCCTGTCCTGGCCTGTCCTGCTGTGGCCTGGGGCAGGGCTGGGAGTGCCTCCAGTCCCTGCTCTGGGTCACCGAGTGCTCCATGTAGACCTGGGCAGGAAGGCCTGGCCTGCCACTGTGCGGGGCCTCTCTTCTCCTGCCACCAGAGGTAGCTGTGCTGCTAGCACTGACACTCCCAGGGTAGCTCTGGGCCATAGGCAGGCCCTGGCCCAGGCCCAGGGATCACAGCCCCATAGGCTGCCACTGCTCCATGGTCCCCGGGGGACAGGGAGTGGCACAGGAAGGGCACTGGGCCTTGCCCATAGGAAAGGCCCAGCCAAGTCCCCTCTTGGGGGCTGCTGGCTTAGCTCCTGGAGCACAGGGCCCTCTGGCCCCACCACTGCCGGCCTAACCTGTCCAGTTCTGTACAGTAGCATCAAGCTCTGATTCCTTCAAACTTCCCTTGCTCCCTCCCACCTACCCACCAAAATAGTCTCTGCTTTAAAATATATATTATATATTAGACATTTCATCTTCAATACGATTCTCTAACAGCATCAGGTAAAATTAGTGACTCCAGAGGAAAGGCAGCCTTTGTGACTACAGACAGCACTCAGGGGCCAACCTGCGCCTCTCCCTGGCAGGAGGGGAAGGGCAGAGGACAGAGAAGAGGCTCGGTTTCCTGCTCAGTTATATTTCTGGGCTAAGCCTCACCCCCCTCCCCTCTGCAAAGCCTGGCCTCAGGGTAACAAGGAGCCCACAAAGTCATGAGTGGCTGCTTATTTTGAGGAAGGGCTGGGCATTTTCTGAGCCTCAGAGGGGCACGTGAGTCTGCCCCGGGGAGCTGGCCCCTATGGAGACAGCAGCCACCTCATCACACAGCCAGAGGAAGGCCACCAAGTGGAGGCCGGTCAGAGAGGGCGCTGGGGCGCGAGTGAGGGTGGGCAGGAGGGAGGTGCCTCCAGTTATTGCAGTCTGGTGTCCTGGGAACACCAGGAATTCCTGGAACCCCTGTGGGAGCTGGGAGAGGCGGGCAGAGGCTTGGCTTTGTTTTCAGTGGACATTTTAGCACATTATCTGTGGAAAATTACCTGGGACCTTTCTCTTTTTTTGCATAAAGTGTCTACCCATTAAGATAGATCCAGTGTCTGATAGCGTAATGTATAACAAAAATGTCTTTTTGTTATTTTTTAGTAAATTGTGCTAGAGATTTCTCCAATTTCTGATTTTTTTTTTTTTTTTTGCAAGCCACATCTGAGAAGCCATCTCTGCCCTTCCCCTGCCTGCGTCCCCCAGACCATGAGCCGGGCACCGGCCAGTGCATTCAGGGTGGGGACGCAGTTCCTGCCGTGGCTGTCCTTTGAGAGACCCACATGTTTATTTCATGGAAGACGGAGTTGGTGACTTCAGGAAGCTCTTTGTGGAGAACGTGGTAGGCACCTTCATAAATCTGCAATGAGGAGAGACATGGAATCAGAGCTGCACCATCAGAGGCAGGTGTGGGGAGTGGAGACCGCACGCAGTGGGCAGGGTTAGGAGCATTCTCCAGACCCTCTCCCTATGCCCGAGGACCTGGCCCTGACCTCCCATTATTAGGAGGCTAACACCTTTCTATCAGATGATGGTTCAAATGCGTTACAATGTCCCAACATGTTCCCGAACTTCCTCTCTCAAATGCAAACGTTCCCTTACTCCACATCTCTCCCCATCCCTGGGCCCGTTTCTGTGTCTGAGTCAGGCAACCTTCTCAAAAGAGGGGGTTCCACTCCTGGCCTCACATCCTGACCGCCACGGGGTCCTCAGCTCATCCCAAGCTGACTTCCACCCCTGCCAACCCACAGTGGCTATCCTGGCGAGGTCTCCAGGGACCTCTATTGCCGTGGCAGGGGACACTGTGCTGGTCATTCATAAGCTGCTCACTCTCACCTTCTAGAAACTCTTCTTGTGGTTCCATGGCTTGAACTTCTGATTTTCTTTCGACCTCGCCAGCAACTCCTTCTCAATTCAGGCTTATCCCACCCACTGGCCTCTGCAGGCAGCTGGACTACGGGCTTGGCTGTGCCCTCCTTCACTCTCCCTGGTCACCTCGTCCAGTCCAGTGGTTTTAAAATCCATCCTGGGCTGATGACTCTGGAATTTACATCTCCAGCCAGACCTCCCTTCTGCCTCTAGACGGCTGACCTGCCATCTCCATCTGAATTCCTGGCAGGGACCTCCAGACTTCAGTGCGATGCTAATGGGCATCTCCAGGTGGACTCCAGCCATTGCTCACATCAGTCTCTCTGCCTGGCGTTTCTCGTCTCATTACAGCCTCCTCATTACTGCAAGCCTGAACCCAGGGTTCATCCTTCATGACAGTGATCTCACTCTCTGCCGTCCTACCTGGCTTCCCCTGCCTTGGTTGTCACTGTCCCCTACCTCCTTCTTACCCCAGCTCCTGTCTCCCCAAGGCCACTGGGGGATGCTTTTAACATGAAAATCAGAGCATGTTACTTCTTGGCTCGAAATGTTCAGGTGGCTTCTCATCTAACCCAGAGATGAAGTCTAGATTTCCCAGGTGGTGGGGCTCCCCTGCCCCCCTACCAGCCTCCCTGCCTGGTGCATCCTCACTGGCTGCTCTTCTTGTGGCTGCGTGCCTATGCCAGCCTCAGGTCCTCAATCTCTCTCTTGCCTCAGTCTGGAAGGTTCTTCCACTGGCTGTTCTCACCAGCAGACTACAGGCCTGGCCGTCCCATCTAAAGTGCTGCTTTCCCCCCTGTCCCCCTCTATCCCTACACTACACTCTGCTGAGTTTCCTTAGGGGCACTGAGTTCTCTCCATCATCATCCTTTTCATTTATTTGTTGATTGCTTCAGGATTCAGGTTCCCGGGGGGCAGAGCAGAGCCTTTGCCTGTCTTGTTCTCTGGGCCTGACAGAAACTTAGGGCCCCATAAATACTTGAATTAAAGAAGGGATGAATGGCTAGCTGGGTAAATGAATGACTAATCTTAGTGGACTCCTTTTGCAGGGATTTGCAAGGGTTCACATTGGTGTAAGGGAGGTCTGAGTGATGCTCTCACAGATGAATGCAGTGTTCCACTGTGGCTTTTAAAAAATCTATTTTGCTGGGTGTGGTGGCTCATGTCTGTAATTCCAGCACTTTGGGAGGCTGAGGTGGGAGAATCACCTGAGGTCAGGAGTGAGACCAACCTGGTCAACATGGTGAAACCCCATCTCTACTAAAAATACAAAAATTAGCCTGGCATGATGGCAGGTGCCTGTAATCTCAGCTACCAAGGGCGCTGAGGCAGCAGAACCGCTTGAACCTGGGAGGCAGAGGTTGCAGTGAGCCGAGATGGCGCCACTGCACTCCAGCCTGGGCAACAGAGGGATACTCTGTCTAAAAACAAAAACAAAAACAAACAAACAAAAAAACCCAAAAAAGATATATAGTCTTTATGTCTAATATTGCAAGCCGCAGGGCCTGTCCTCAGGGTCCCTGTCTGCAGGGCTAGCTCTGACAGCTCCCTTCACAGAGCAGGCTCTGCCAAGTCCTGCCAGCACCTGTGTGCTCTGAGCCCTCTGGTGGCCATGGCTCCCGGGCTACTGCAGCCACCGCTGGTGCAGAGGGAGGCTTGGGCATTACACGTGTCCTTGGAGCCTGGACATGCCTCTCTCTCGGGATATTTATTTGCTCAGTGCCCAGTTGCAGATTCTTTTCTTGCCTACAACATCTTTTGATTGTTCTTTTTTCCTTTGAGGCTCATTCATGCAAAACAATTAGCAAATGACTCGTGTGTTCTCTTGAAATTCATAGGCTCCTGGGATTCCTTTTATTTATTTATCTCTCGGTCAAGCAAGCTGTTCCCTATCCTGAGATCTGGGAGGTGGTCCTCGGGGGTCTTGGCAGATGTGCCCCAAGGGGTGCTGCCTCACCACCCTCCCTCCACCTTTGGGGGAAATGAGCAAGTGGCAGCCACTCACCTTGAGAGTCTTGTCCTGGCTCTTGGCTGACTCCATGAGCAGGTAGGCCCCTTTGCTGTCACACAGGCGATCGGCAGAGCCCTGGAGCAGCAGGAAGGGCACCGTCAGCTTGGGGAGGGCGCGCTCCACCCGTGAGACGGCATTCAGCAGCTGGATGCCAAAGCACACCTTCAGCCCTGCCCGGCAGATCAAGGGGTCTGAGTTATAAATGTCGACCTGGAGAAAGAAGCAGAGGGTTCCATCAGCATGGGCAGGGCTCACTTCCTTAAGCCAGACCTATTTCCTGGTAGATTTCCTTCTGCTCTGGCCGGAAGAGTTGATTCCATTCAGGTCAGCGGGGCTTGGGTGTGGCTCTGAGGGCCAGCTGTGTTCACCCACAGACTTCATCTGCACCACTGGCAGTGCGTCTCCTTTCAGGCTTGAGGGTTTCACATACACACGGGTGCCTGTAGAAAATGTCAAGTATTGGCCGGGTATGGTGGCTCACACCTGTAATCCCAGCACTTTGGGAAACTGAGGCGAGCAGATCACCTGAGGTCAGGAGTTCCAGAGTAGCCTGACCAACATGGCAAAACCATGTCTCTACGGGTTTTTTTTTTGTATTTTTGTAAAAATACAAAAATTAGCTGGGCATGGTGGCGGGCTCCTGTTATCCCAGCTACTTGGGAGGCTGAGGTGGGAGAATCCCTTGAACCTGGAAGGCGGACTTTGCAGTGAGCCGAGATGGTGCCACTGCACTCCAGCCTGGGTGACAGAGCAAGACTCGGTCAAGAAAAGAAAATAAAATTTCAAGTATTAATTTGTATTTTTAAAAATATAAGCGACAACATATTGTTCACATCAATTATTTTATTAAAAAGTAGCTCTGCAGCTGTTTTAGCATTTGATTTTTGTTCTCTGTCTCCACTGATGTGGTGTGCACCTGGTGGAGTGGATGAGGGGCAAACAATAAACTGCAGGAACAGTTTACTGGGGTCTGTGCTGGAAAGCGAGGGCCCATGCTAGGAGCCCCCGGAGGGGCTTCAGCCAGGCACTGATGACGGGCTTTGGGGTGAGGGACACCCAAGGGCAGGTCTGGCTGTGGTGGGCTCAGTCTCTGTGAACCTTAAGGCTACACAGGATGGTCAGAGGCTCTGACAGGGAGGCCTGGGCCCTGGCTGTGCCCAAGGCCATCTCTGCCCCTCTACAGGACGTGAGTCCTCCCTCCTCAACCACCAGCCTGTGGATCTTGCCTTTCAAGGGGCTGCTCTCTCCCCTGTCCTTGCTGTCCTTGGCCTGTCTGGGTTTCTGGCTTCAGTCTTCCCGCCTCGGTAGGGACAGCTCAGGCTCCACTGCCCTGATCTCTAGCATCTGCCCCACAGGATCAGGGGATAAGTTTCTAGGTCTCTCTCAGGCCCATAGGGGGCAGGAGTGAGCCCCGATGCTTTTTTTTTCTCTTTTGAGAAGGAGTCTCGCTCTGTCACCCAGGCTGGAGTGCAGTGCTACAATCTCGGCTCACTGCAACCTCCGCCTCCAGGGTTCAAGTGATTCTGCTACCTCAGCCTTCGAGGTAGTTGGGATTATAGGCGGTGGTCACCACACCCGGCAAATTTTTGTATTTTTAGTAGAGACAGGGTTTTGCCATGTTGGCCAGGCTGGTCTCAAACTCCTGACCTCAGGTGATCCACCCGCCTCAGCCTCCCAAAGTGCTGGGATTATAGGCATGAGCCACTGCGCCCGGCCCCCATGATGCTTCTTCACTCACGTTCATCATCCTTGCCAGTGGGTTCTTGGTGGGTTGGGGAGGGTCCATGTGGTGAGGACTGGGTGAGGGTCAGAGAGCATGTGGGGACGAGGAAGGAACATGCTGCCAGCTGCTCCCCGGGCAACCAGGGTGCCCACTGTGTCAGGACTCAGCATTTCCAAGAACTGGGCTACACCCCTTCCATTACCACCCCTACAAGGCCTTGGCCAGAATTCCGGACCACACCAAGTGGGAGAGGCTGTCCTGCAGTCACCCCTGCCATCCCTGGATTCCTTCCCATGCTGGGGACTGAGCACCAAAAACCAGACCATTTGTGTAAAGCCACACGAGACAGATTAGCCACTTCCTGCAGCTGAGCTGGCATGAGTCCTGCTGGGCCAGGCCATCTGCTCAGAGCCTGAGAGGACACGGGACTGGCAGGGCAGTTCATGGGGGCCCATGGCCAGGCCCAACCACAGGGGGTGCTTCCCCAGGGTCAGCCAGGAGCCATGAGGGAAGGAGGGCTGTAGGGCCTACAAAAGAGCCCAGGGCTTGGGGTCAGTGGAGTCCCCAACAGCAGCGCCATCTACCAGCTTGTGCTGGGCTGTGACATGCAGGGTCTCACTGAGTAATAAAATAATAGCTACATCTGAGCTCTGTCTGTCTGCCCAGCACTAAGTGTTTTTGCGTGCAGTAACTCACTGGGCCTCCATAACTCCCCTGTATAAGGAATTGCTCTCATTCTCTCCATTACACAGAGGAGGAAACTAAGGCACAGAGAGGCTTGTCAACCTGCCTGCTGTTAGTTGCCCCAATTCTTGTTCTCCCCTACAGAACCTTGATGTTTCTTTGGGTATACAACTGCTCAGAATAAAGACTATATTTCCCAGTCTCCCTTGCAGCTAGCAATGTGACTTGTGGTCACATGACCAAGTTCTGGCCAATAGAAAGTAGGCAGGCAGGGGCTGTGTGCACACTCTGGGTCTAGGTCTTATTTTCTCCTTGCCCCATAGAAAGAGTCAGGGCCATGTGGACAAGGTTCACCCCTGGAAGCCAGAGCAACAAGATGGGTGTCCTGATGCCGAGAAGTCACACCGTCTCTTGGTTAAGCTGCTGTTGTTGGGGGTATGGGTTCCAGCAGGCTGGCCATGCCCTGGGCTGGGCCACCACCCCATCCCATGCTGTTTCCAGGGCTTCTGTGGGATCTGTGGGGTGGGGGCCACACCCTCGACCCTGCCGCCAGCAGTCTTACAACCGCCTTCTTCCTGCAGCAGGCCTGCTGCTTTACCCTGCTGACCCCGAGCGTCCTGGGCACAGCAGGCCCTTGGGGACTCTGCTTCTGAGTTTAATTGCACTGATGGCCAAGCGGCTTCCTGCTCTTGGCTTCATTTTCCATGTCTTGATCACGTAGGCCCTGTTTACACAATGGCCTATTCTGGGCCTGGGGCCCAGCCACCAGATGTGTCAGGGAAAGGGTAGGCCCCTCATGTGAACCACAGCCCGGGCTGGGGGTGAGGGGCAGAGGGAAACTGGGACCAGGAGGCGGGGGAGGGCTGTACCACATGGGGAGATTGAGACACAGAGGGGCCAAACCCTCCCCTCAAGTGGCAGTTCTGGCCCAATCACAATGGCCTTGATTTTTTGACAGCTTAAGATCTCAATCCACCAAAAGTCCTAGGAATGTGTCTTGTGGCTCCCAGGAAGGAGATAGCCAGCCCCCTTCCTCCCAAACCAGGCCCAAGCCCAGAACATGAGCCCATTCATTCAATATGGACCAAAGAGTCAGTCCCCAAAGATTCCACACTGCATGATTCCACTGATGTAATGTTCTTCATGTGACAAAACTAGAGAAACAGAGACCAGACTCACAGCTCAAAGGGCCGAGGAGGGTGTGGGGCGAGTGGGGAGTGGATGTGGCTGCAAAATGGCAACATGAGGGGTCCTTGTGGGGATGGAGCCATCTGTGACTTGACTGTGTCAAGGTCAGTATCCTAGTTGTGATACTGTCCTGTCATTTTGCAAAATGTCACTGCTGGGGGAAACTGGGTAATGAATGCATGGAATCACTGTATTATTTCTTACAGCTGCTTGTGAGTTACAGTGATCTTAAATGAAAAGTTTAACTAAAAACTAATAGCAAAGGCCCATGTTTAGCTCACCATGGCTCCCACCAGCTGAGACCAGGGTCTGCTGGGGACACGGCAGCTGGAAGCAGGAGCCCAAGCTGGGGACCCAGGTCCAAGTGACCACTCCACCGTGGCTCTAGAGAACTGATTTCCTGGGGAGCCCCCACTGGCTGAGAGCTGAAGCCTTTTTTCCCCCGGGGTGGGCTTGGGAGTATGGTAAGGCTCTACTCCTTCCTGGGCCTCAGTTTCCCCATCAGGGGACCCCAAAGGCTCCTCTTGGGTGTTAAGTTTCACAAGCTGGCCTCCTGTTGAGCTTGACAGCCAGGAATACACCAGCTGGGACTTCTGAATTTCCAGCACCGTCTCACTGTGGGAAGAAACTTTGCACTAAAGCGCAGTAAATACAGCTGCAATCCTCAGCTGGGAGTTTTCTTACACTTATGGTTGAGCAAAATCGAGACACAACCCCTGCAGTCAAATCTCTTGACCCATTTTTTTAAAAACCATTCCATGATGAAATGCAATATCACAGTTTAATTAGAATACTATGAAAAATAACTCATGCGTGGAGCCCTTGACTCTTTACTAGGTGCTGTAGTAAGTGCTTCACTCGTACTTGCTCATTTAATCTTCACAGGAACCCTGTGATGTAGGAACTATTATTATTACCTTTTTACATATGAGGAGACAAGCTCAGAGAGGTTAGGTGACTCACCCAAGGTTACACAGCAAGTAAGAGGCAGAGCCAAGGTAAGAAACTAGGCACTCTGCCACTGCCATCAGCATTCTTAGCCACTTACCATGCTCTGCTGCCTGTCTCGAGAGGAGAAGGTGAAGGTCAGTGCTGGGGTATAGACAGCCAGGAGCTGTGCAGGTGGCAGGGGCACTAGTGCTCTCAGAAAAGGCAATAATGGTCTCTGATGAGGACCATAAGTGGATGGACCTGAGAGTTGGTGAAGTGATCTGGTGGGGCCCAGGGGTTACCACCCTTCACAGCCAGCCAGAGGAGATAGGGGAGCCCCTCTGGGCACAGACAGGCATGTGTCCCCCTGGATGAACCCCTAATCACAGAGAAAGACAACCCAGAAGGCTTCATCCCTGTAGATCTGTCCACAGCTGGCTCTTCCTGCCTCTCTTTCCCTGTAATCTCCTCCCTTTTCCTATGGAAGCCTCACCCTTCCATCTGGGTTTTAGAGCCCATCCCGGAATTCCCACCTTCTTCCTCCGTTATTTAGATCTCTCTTAATCCATCCCTTTCCAATACAGGGAACTCGGATAGCCTTCTCTGGCATAATAGAGAAAGAGTGCATGGCCGGGCGCGGTGGCTCAAGCCTGTAATCCCAGCACTTTGGGAAGCTGAGACAGGC